AAGGAAAGAAGTTGTGATTTAGATTACAGTAAACTAACAGGCTACCTCTTGAATACAGGCGATCCTTGTGTCACTCTCTGCTCTTGCCCCATAAAGATGGATCCAGGTAAGTGCCGCGGTGCAGGGGCTGTGGGGTGGAAGAAGGAAGGCAGAGGGAAGGAGAGTGGGGAAGCCAGGGTGATCAGTCAGCCATATCTACTGCACACCAAAAATATGGCTGTGTGTGTTTGTGTGAAGCTGGTGGTAGGATCCGCAATGAAAACAAGCCCTTAGAACACATTACAGTTGAAGAAAAGTACTTCCCCATCCTTCATCTCACCAAATCTTCAACGTGAGGAATAACACAATCAGGTGCTTGTCCCACTGCACACACAATGATATCCAGGATAAGGCCATGGAGGTGTGGCTGGGTTGGAGCTCAGAACCCAGCTCTCGGCAGCCGTGCCATTGCCTCCCCTCACAAGGAACAAAAGACCATCCTGACCTTTAAGAAACAGCAGACAATTCCCACCAAGGCAGCATTGTCCAACACCCAGGACCACTCAGCTAGGCTGCTGCAGAGTCAGCCCACTGTACCCGCAACCGGGCAGGGCGATTGCCCAGTCCACGTGGATTTCCTGCAGGTAGGCACCACAAAGTTGAACCTGAGAGATTTCCACGTGGCAGGAGGCACATGCAAAGTCCAAGCTCTGAGACCAGAAGGTCACAAGCAAGAGCCAAGAAACAGCTGAGAGGCTGAGCAGAGACAAGGGCTGAGATGAGCAGGATGAGAAAAAGGCGGTGTAGACTGGGACGTTGAGGTAGGAGCATTCTGGAAGTGGAAGAGAACAATCAGGGTTTGCCCTGGGAAGGGTCAGCCTCAGCATCATGGAGTTTAGCTGAAGTTTGGAGAACACAGAGGTGACAGTTGGGACAAGAACCCACATGTCCTAACTGGCCCCACTGCACACAGGGAAACTCAACCAGGTCTTGAGCACATGGTGACACACAGCTGAACCTTGTATTGACTTTCAGTATGAGCCTGTTGTTGAGTGAATGAACGAAGGAATGATTCTTGGTGCACAGGTGGGGGCACAGATCAGCGCTAGGGAGAAGACAGGATTTTCACTGCAGAACAAAATAACCACTGCTACTCTTTATTCCCCTTCCTCTTCCACAGGTCCGAAGGTAGGAATGTTCCCCAACCCTCTCCTCTTTTTCCTCCCCACTGCCATGCCCTCCAGACCTCCAGCCTCCTTCCTAAACCCTCAGGGAGGCGCCATTGTCTCCCCCAAATGACAAGTAGGGAATAGGCTCAGGTACCAGCCCCATGGGGTGGGGAATCGCTGTTCCCCATCTCCTGCCCACTGCAGCCATCTGGAGTCCTCTCCTCTGTTTTGCCAACTGTCTCCTTTCCTCACATCCTCTCTCCTGCTACTTCCCACC